ATATATATATATATATATATATATATATATATATATACACACACAAATATAGTATTTCAGGATATACCTCAAGGTCAAGGATATATGTTCATATTAGTATCACTCATGACTTGGCCTAGTAAATAAATGATTATGGATTTTAATTTTCATTTTCAATATTCAACTATAGACTTCAATAGTTCTATTAATATGTTGGCTTGCTTAGTTAAACTAGTTCTTAGAAACGTGCGTTGCACGTTTGTCCCTCACTATCATATTAATTTGTACATGCCTAATCTCATGCTGATAATTATTTATTAGATAGTACTCCCCCTGTTCCTAATTACTTATCCCATTTTGAATTGACACACCTATTATGAAAATATTTATTGACATAGTGAGTTTACCATTTTACCCCTATTATTAATTATGAAGTGCATGAATTAAAAACTTAAGATTTTCAAGAAGTTCTATCTTTTTCAAAGTAATTAATTGAGGGTATAATAGGTAAAAAGAAATTGTCCTTTCTTAATTTGTCAAAATAGACAAGTAATTAGGGACAACTAAAAAAAAAAGTGGACAAGTAATTAGGGACAGAAGGAATATTGTTTATATATAAAACTTAAATTTTCATCCTAAAAAGTAAAAATAAAAATACTAAACGAAAAAAATATTTGAATGAGTATTGTGGTTTTCAATACAAATACAATAATTGTTTTAATGATATTACAGTCTCTATTTAATAACTACATATAAGTTTTGTTGAGTGAGTAAATTTTTGCACAAGTTTTATAGAGATTCGATCAATATGACTTTATGGTAGCTAGTATATAAATCATTGTGGATTCTCGGTAAGTATGGAGAATTTACTATTTAATATTTAATTCATTAGATATTTTATAACATTATTAATTAAATGTTTTATAAGATTATATATAGTATTAAAAGTGGATAGTAGGAATAAAATGATAATTCAAATTTGGACTTTGAAATGTCCTCATTTACTACTATTTTTGTTGCCTTTAAAAATGGTCCAATGCCTCATCTGGTACTTACAACAATAAATAAATAATTATAGGAGATGGCAACACAAGCAAACTATTGGAAAAGATATGATGATATGGTAACATAATACTATATAACAATTGATTATTTTATTAATTTTTAATTTACAACAAAGGCAAAATCGTTATCTAACCCTAAAGGAAAGAACTTCACACTTTTGGTGTAATACAAGAATTCATTAGAAATTGCATTTCCCATAATTATAATAGTCTTTAATCACAATAATCCTACAATTTTGTATCAAGATCATGATCATTGTGAAACGTTATATTATATCTTGAAAATCAATTAATAATTCAATCAGTGTAAAGATATAAATTACGATGCACTATAGGAATTAGACTTCTATGGAAATTCTTTTTTCCTTTTTGTAGGATATATGTGTTGCTTATAATAAATAGTAATAAAACCTCTTTCAACTTAGTGGAGAAATATCTTTTGTATGATCGACATTTGTATGAGGATGGAGCTAAAGAAAAAAAAAAAGACAAAAACAGATTCATCCATAAAAAATTTCAACACAGAGAATGGCTAGAGTCAACAGAGCAGTACTTCAGTGCACAACCCTCTAATCTTCAAGATCTCAAGTTCTCAACAGACATAGACAAGAAAGTTCACGAAATGAATGCTAAGGACATCAAAATTCAATTTTGCGCCTTCTTGACAAACTTAAATCCAACACCACAAATAAATATCAAGGACACACACATGCACATACATATATAATGACACATAGAGATAGACACAAACTTGAATTGAGGAAATGGTTCATATATATCTTTGTCGCAATGTTTCTGTAAATGTAGCAAAATGGCACAAATAATAAAAATTAATATCGCATAATGTTAACTTGCATTAAAAATATACTCACATAAGAGGAAGGATAAAAAAGAGTATAGTTTTCATCAAAATCTGAACGAAAAACCATCTCTAGTCATGGATATAATTAGATGAGAATGAGAATAGTGCAACAGAGCTATATAATACTAATTAAATTAGCTAGGCAACTGAATAGTCAAGAATAAAAATTAATATTCAGAGCACCTTCTCACATTCTCTAGGGAATTTGTATATAATGAAGATAAAATTATAGTTATTGTAATTAAGTTTGCTGATGTACATTGTATATTAAGTACATTGCATGCATAGTTAATGGGTAGTGGAAAAGACTCAACGAAATTATTTTTATTTATTCACAATATTATTGGAATTTTAGATTAGATAAATATGATTTAATTAGATTATCACTTAGTGTAGGGGCAAAATGGTAATCCAACTTTTAATGTTGGAGCTTCCCACTGATAATATAATATGATGATCATACAATTTAGCTTAGATTGTTTCATTGGTTAGTAAGAATTAAAATTCGCTTGATATTCCATCTTAATTTTGAAGCGTGATAAAAGTTTTTTTCTCTCTCACAACATAAAGCATATATTTGGAGATGATTAGTCCTCTGATCACAACATATGTTCGCTGTCATTTTCAAAGAATGGTTCCTTTGTTTGAGTATTTGTACATTAATAAGAGAAAATAAGTGATGTGTAGAGAAGGTTATGATCATAGATTTTGTAGTCTTATTTATTACTACATACATAGAAGTGGTTAAGAAAGCAGATTGACGATCAACAAATTATCTCTTATGATTTTTGGGTTAATGGGCATTGTGAAATGATGTAGAGGAAGCAATTGAACTGATCAGATATGGCCCAAATATAGGTAAAATCAGGTATGTGTTACTATGAAACTGCATCGCCAAAACATAGCAACCATGTTTTCAAAATTTAATTGCCAAACATGTTTTTCGTTTTGTTTAGATGCAAATGAAGGCAGAAGAGCATTTGTTTTTAAGGTCTAATTGATAACTCTAATCTACAGTCACATTAGGTCCAATAATGCATGACATGACAATAGAGAAAAAAGGGTTGGTGTAGACGAACAAATTAAGTAACTCAAACAGACAAAGAGGGGATTTTTTTATTGATTCCCTAACCAAATGTACATTGCATCATTGCAACTTATTTCTCAACTTTGTTCAATCATGAACTGAGATATGAAGTCGTCTCACTAAATCTAAAGATTGTGTCTTCATAAATCGAACACAAGATCAGAAATAATAGTAAAGATCCAGCTCCTTATCATCAACTTTTACATTTATTTATTTTCTTTCATGTATCATATCGTAAGCATTAACAGAAGTATTCCACCTATGCCACCATCAGGTTATGTTGAAAGTTCAAAAAAGGATTTTAGGTTGTAAGGTGCTACAACGTCTGGAGTTCCATTCCATAATAATTCCGTGTATTTTTGGTAGGCCTGCTCACTGGGATGAACAGAGTCGAAAAACAAGTAATCTTTCACATTTTCACATAACTCGTACTCTTTTGCCTGTCTCTTCCCTCCACAGCTAGGAATCCCTCGAAATGGACCCGTTCCACAACAAGCCGTCTCTGATATTTTCAAACCTAAACAAAACAGAACAAAATCATAAGTAAATTGAGACAAAGGAAACATTCTTTATATAACAACCAAACATTTGACTGTATTATTCTCTAAATAGTTTGTGTGATTTCATTTTGTTATGATTATTGCATCTACATTCTACTCTGTTAGCAGAGCCATGAAATTTCTGCTACAGTGTTTGAACTGAATAGAAATAGACAACCTATATATGATTTATGTTTCATCTTTCTATGATCAATTCCAATTCTTTATTTTACTTTATTGAAGGTTTCTCATGGGGCGGACAAAATCTAGATTCGCACCATGAAGTTCTACATTGGGGGTAATCCGCTCCTTAACAAAGGCGACTTCAAACCATTGCTCGAACCTGAGACCTCTTGTTAAAGATAAAAGAATACTTACCACTCCACTAATTCCTGTTGGTACTTATAGTACTCTTGGTATAATAGTTATTCTTTCATAAATCAGCGGTGCCCAATATATAATCAAACATATAAATACTTGATTTGAGTTCAAAGAGATAGAACACACCATATTTTGTTGGATTATCAATGCTATCTGCCAATACTTTGAAGAAGTTGAATACTGTATACTTAAATCCAGGCAATTGCTTCTCTAGTTTTTTGAGCATTTCTGGGAGAGCTGAATTGAACATTTTGGCCAAATTTGTGGCCTTCTCCATGCAACTCCCATTTGTAACTCCAATTTGAAGGTTGAGAGGTCTCATTAAAGGGAGACAACCTAATGGACCCAAATTAAGCATCACAAACTTTCTCCCTCCTTCCTTATAAATTCCCTGTTGCATTCATAACAAAGTACAAAGAGTTAGCCTAACTTGTCCATTTGACACGCCTAGATAGAACCATTACTAGTAAATTAAATCGAAAGATAAATATTACCTTAAAACAGAAGTCAAGTTGCCCATAATCATCTGTATATATTCTGTATCGGAATATGGAAAAGTCGAATTTGCTAATAAAGGGGCAAAGAAATCATTAGTGCCAGTGCTAAAAATATATACAGCATTGGAGAGAATCTGTTTGGACTCTGTTTCACCCACTTTCTTCTTCAACAGTTGCGCCACGTTTTGGAAATACTTCAACTGTGTTTTAAGATCTATAACCTGTCAAATGGAAACAAACATTTCATAAAAAGTTGATCTAACTATCAAATTGAAACAAGAAATATTGTGACTTACAAAGCCACGTACTATTGGTAGCAGTGGTGTTGATGTAATTATTATTTCCAGGATCAAAAACTGAATCCCCGAACACGAAAAGGGAAGCTTGATGAGGTCTTTCATGGCACACAATTGTGGTGGCAAAATGTGCTACCAAAACAAAGATGCACAAGCTTGAGATCAAAGCCATCAGAGTAACTTAATTGTGAATGAACAATTACTTGGATATATTCGTTTGGTTTATATTTGCATAGTATATATATATAGTACTAGTGATGTGCAGAATGATTAAAAAAATACTTGTGTCAGCATCCACTCTATTGAAAGAGTCGGTTTATTTTTCAATGAATTGAAGGAGTGTTGGCTGGTTGACAATCATTTAGTTAGTAAACATGGAGATGTTTACTTGGCCTACAATTAAGAAATTGACCCACAAAAGAGCAATTTTTTTTTACTTTTAATCTTGCTATTTGTCACTTCATCAATTATTGTTGTGAACTAATCTCTTTCTTCAATGTAGAGTACAATTATATACTTAATCCATTTTTACTTATCCAATTTTGACTTGACACATTCACATTTTGAATATACTGTAAATTCATTGTTTTGGAAATTCATATATTGAGAAATGACTATAGTAAATCATGAACTAAAATGATAAATTATCTCTTCATTTTCTAAACTCGACAAGCAGTAGGCACATTAGAGAGAAGTTTACCCTAGTGCATAAACTCTCCTGTATTGTTTGTGGATTATTACAAAGTTTACCCTTTACCACTTGAAAGATAACGATAGGGAGTTTCCGTGTCATTATAAATAAAAAAGACATTTTACATAAATGTGTCATTTAATTTATCTTCAATTTGTATTTATGTCCTTCAACTTTGATGTGTACAAATAGGAATTTAAACTTGTATAAAATTAAAGAAGAATATACATACGCGTCCTAAGTGTCATAATACTCGTGTGACGCCACATAGGATGCAAATTGTCGTGTATGACGTCACGTACGAAGCATGTGTCTACTTGTTAAAGTTGTACAAATTTATGTGTCTACTTGTGTACACCTAAAATTTTAAGACATAGGCATCGGCTGAGACCAAATTAAAAAACACTTTTATGCATTAGGCCAAAAAAAAAAAGGAAGCGTTTTTAGAACTTATTTTATAAAACAATGGAAGCCTTTTAGTATTTTTGCTTTTTCACCTTCCCTTCGATCTTTTGTTTGATTTCTCTCCCTTTTATACATCAGACAGATAGTCGTATCTCTTTAACAATTAAAAATTAAAACGTTCATTAAAAAATTCTTTTGAAAAAGAAATGCATATTCCCTAAAGAAAATCAATTGAACGAAGCACTTGAGGCCACATGTCCCAAAGCTTATTATTTGATTTTAATACAAATCAATAGTACTCCTTGTTAGGATCGTAAATAAATTAGGTGTCATGCGAAAGCTAATAAAGCAAATCTTAATAGTCCACGAATAAAAAGACAGACGAGAAATATATCAAAAGACACAATGATTTAACGTGGTTCGGTCAACAGACTTACGTCCACAAAGGAGATTAACAATCCAATATATATATATATATATGTATGGGAGTACAAAATATAGAGAGAAATAACTTCAATTAATTCACTCGGAATAGGATGTTCACACAAGTGATAACATATCACTTGTGTCCCACAAATTCCCCCCCTAACCAAAACTCGCAAAGCCCTTAGGATTACATTGTGAATGTTGATTAAGTTAGAAGGAACAAGACTTTATTTATAGAGTCCTAATTTTTTTCCTACAAGAAAAGAACTAGTCAATCCTAAACCTTTTCCTAAAAGGAAAACATATTTATGATAAGAAACTTATGACAACTAAACTATGTTATAGGAGTATTTCTTTTTTCTAAGAGTTAAACTATGTTAATTTTGACTAATATTTTAAAATAATTCATCAAATTGACATTTAAAATATTACAATTTATAGTATTTTTCGTATAGTTTTTGAATACATAAATTTTAATTATATAACATTGAGTTAATCTAATTTAATTTAATTAGATTTTAAAATTAATCAAATTAACTTTCAAAAAGCGAAACATAGCAATTAATTTGAGACGAAAGAAATATTTGTTTAGTAGATTTTGATCCGGCAGCCGTTGGGAGCAAGTAAACGAGCATATATTAAAATAAATAACATTGTTTAATGCGGAGTAGTTTTAATATTTTATATACTTATGCACTTATTTTATATTTTTATTTTATACAAAAGTTGGCGTGTAGGCATTCTTTTTCTTCCCTTTGCACTGCTTCAATTTCATTATATTAAACATTTTAGTAATAAATAAATATAGAAATCATTTAATTTGTTTGTTGATTGATTTGCACGACATTGTCTGACTAAATATGAAATATAATATATTAACTTGACTTAGTTATATATCAAAATATATATCGGTAGGAAACGGCAAAAGATATTTTCAGAAAAACAACTCTTATATATTTATTTATTTCCAAAAATAAAAGGAAATGAAAATTTTAATTTGAAATACAAGTGTCATTTATCAAAGCAAGTCCTCTACTTATACATCAGGTATTTAGTTTCTTTGATCATGATTAAATTATTGTTATATAGAAGCGATTAAGGAAGCAGATCTACGATCAACAACTTATCTTTTATGAATTTTTGTGTTAACGAACCTAGGAAAAATCACACCACACATCTGTTTAAGGGTTAATATTATAACTTTTAGATCTATTTTTTATATTATTACTTATAACATTTTAATTACAAGTATTAACAAATTAGTTTTAATTATTAATTAATTAATTATATATTATTAACTAATGTATATTATAGAATGTTATATAATTAATAGGTGAGAGAAATAATATTAATGAGAGAGAATCAATTTATTTCTAACTTATCACATGTCAACCCACACCCCCACCCTCAAGTTACTCTCAAAATATCTTTTTCATAAGTATATTAATTTATAATTGACAAGATAAATCTTTCCCTTGATTTTCTCCTAATTAGTTGATTCTTATTTTGATTATTTTATTATTCCCAAGATAAATATTGATTACTATTCAAATACTTTTTATTTATTAATGACTATTGAGGCCTTTAATTTTTTTTTAAAAAATTTAAATTTATCACTGTATGTTTTAACATGTAATTTTCTCTCTTTAATCTATCTTTTTTGCTTTTCTTGATTTTTCTTTATTTTAAATTTTGATTTCATTTTTTATTTTAATTAATCTAAAACTTGATTTTTTGAGAAAAAAATCGTTTTACTTAAATTTTAAACTCGTTTTTGGTGTGTTTTTCTATATCTAAAATACTTTTTTGTAGGTGAAATAAGTATATTTAGTTCTGAAATTTGTTGTTATATATATAATCAATATGAGATCATAAAATCTTTAATAAGAAGTTCCTAAATTTTAGCCTAACTATGGTAAAAAAAAATCACACTTAAATACGGAATATAAATTGAAGAGAGAGGAATATAGAACTTGTATTAATTATTATTGTTTAGATTTTTAATTACATGTTTTGATTTTTGGGTGATGTATATTTCTTTTGCTGTAGTTTTTGACAACAACATATAATATGCATTGTTTTTATATTGTCTGATTTATACAAGTTGGATATCAATTTCATACATTTTTATTTTTTGTCTTTGTTCTAAAATTTCAAGTTGGATTACCAAGTGTATATAAATTGGATACAACATTAATTTGTTTTAGATTGTCTAATTTGGTTGAAATATCAGTTACATTATGATTTTTTTTTCATTTTCAAGTGGGATATCTGTTGGATACCAAATGGATACCAATTGAATACAACATTAACTTGTTTAGGTTGTCTAATTTGGTTGAAATCTCAACTACATGTTGATTTTTCAATTTTCCAATGGGATATTAATTGGATACCAAATTTATACAAATTGGATACAATATTAACTAATTTTAGGTTGACTATTTCAGTTGAAATCTCAATTACATGTTATTTTTTTCAATTTTACCACTAGGACGTCAGTTGGATACCAAATGTATACCAAATACTAAGATTTGACTTAATTTTTCCAGTCGATATCAATAGCATACCAGCATTACCTAGTTTTCGAGTATACATTTGAAAAATACTGAATACACAAATGATTAATTAGCACACATAATAAATATTCTGAAATTATAAGTCATTAACGTAAAAGACAAAATAAATCAAATCATGAGTTTGCCACAATAAAACAATCAAATAAAAATAAATTATGTCTTCTTTTTTTCAGAAGTGTAATTTGAACATGTCCTCCTGTTGTGTCCCTCCTGACGACATGTACTACATGTAATCTTAGACCTCTTGAATTTCACATCAGCAAATCATTTACAGCGTTCAAGTTGTGGTCTCTCTACAGTTCTTTTTGAACCAGGCGACAATAATTTATGCTCCGACACTTTTTGAATTGCATATTTTTCTGTTCCATCATAAATTATTGGGTCAGTGTATAAATAACTTTTATACATATGTTATATCCGTACTCAAATTTCATACTATTTTATGCATACAAAATTCATACAAAAATAAAAATACATATGTTATTTTTAAATAATTTCATATGTTATTACAAAATACAAAATTAAAAACAGATATGTTATATCAGTATACTATTTTTATACAATTCTTATTCACACATTTCTTATCTATTTCATGCCAAAAGTTATCAATTATTCATATCAGGATTATGCCACTAGAATACCAAAATAATTTCAACTTATAAATATTAATTGTCATTTCCTTAATAAACAGTATACCAAATTCATTACATTATTATTCCCAAAATTCATTACAATATAATGCCAAAAAAAAATCCAATCAAACCAGAAATCGTACCAAAATACATTATTGATTGCCATACATATCTCGTAGTATTAGTATACAAATTCCAAAAAAAGAATTATCTATTTTTTTAAAATCAGAAACATACCAAAAATAAAAAATGGGTCAGACAAATAATGAAAAAATTTGTTCATACCAAAATATAACATTATACATTTTTTTTTAAACGTCATAATTAAAATTATTATACACAACAAAAAATCTGAAATCAGTATACAAATTCCATACAATTAATATGCACACTTTTCATACCTATTTCATGCCATAAGCAAGGGGGGATCTATGAAGAGGTGTGGGGGTGTTATCTCATCCAATCAG